TTCCACAGGCCAGAGTGGTGGAAAGGGGCGGAGGACCTATTTCACAAGCTGAACTCTTCTAGTGGTTCCTTAGACCCAAGCCGTTGTCAAGGGTGAGAGCCTGGGTGATCTGGGTTGAGTGTGGTACATGATGTCTTTGCTAAAAGCTGATGGTAAGTAAAATCTTAAGACCTGAGATTGGCGGAACATTTCTGGATATACAGCTCGATGCAGGTGATTTTAGCTGCTTATGTCAAGTTTGATTTTTTTTTCTCATTGCTGCTGCAGCTTCTATATTCTGTAAAACAGACTTCGGAGATGTAAAAGCCTTTATTGTTTACATTTTAGGCGAGTCTTTAACTTGATCACCTTTGAGGGGGTGAGTCTGATTTGTTTGTTTGTTTTTCTTTGGCAGGGCCCAATGTGTGATCTCTTGTGGTCTGATCCAGACGATCGTGGTGGTTGGGGGATCTCTCCACGTGGTGCTGGCTACACATTTGGCCAAGACATTTCTGAAACATTTAACCACGCCAATGGCCTTACGTTGGTGTCTCGTGCTCATCAACTTGTAATGGAGGTAAACATTATTCTGTTGTCTAACTAGATGCGGCTCAGACACACAAGAACCTTAAAGAAAGGATTCCCTTTAAGTGTTGACTTTGCCTGCAGTGACTCAGCATCTGGTGTCTAAAATGTATTTACCAGAAAATTCATATTCGGGATTGAGGCAACTTTGATCTAGTCAATAATAATAATAATAATAATAATAATAGCAGCAATAATAATAATAATAGCAATAATAGCAGCAATAATAATAATAGCAATATGGCTCATACCTAAACAAAACATCAGTGATGAAGGTGACTGGATATTCCCCTTCTTACCCCCCCCCCCCCCCACTCTTTATCCCTCAAAATATTGCTGTGGTCATCCTGGGATGGTGTATGGATAGCTATGAGAGTCAGGGGCTGCAGTGGGGAAGAGGTTGAAACCCACCCCCCATAATTGATGCTGCACTAATGGAAGAAAGCTGATATCATCCCCATTCCCTCTCCTTGCTACATTCCTCTGACCCACACAGCTCTTCATCTACATGATCCTGTGACCCCAGAAATATCTCTTTCCAGAAGTTGGAAGGGGTTGGGGGAGAGAACCACAGAGAAATCACAGTTCTTCTGGGGGCCGGTTGGACATGGGCCCTTGTGTTTGCCTTAGAAGTACGTGGTTTTTATTATGCCCCTAGTAATGTGTTGCATAGGCCTGCAATACATATGCATCTTTTTTACTCTGATTAAAATCGATCCAGTATTAGTCAGCAGACCAAACGAAAAATCTAGCAGTTCCATTCAAACAGGTAATTTCATTGAGTGGGCTTTGCAAAAAAAAAACAAAAAACCTCCCAACAAGTAATTGGCATTGCTGGGGGATTGTATTGGGCTGTCTTCAAAGTGTGTTTCCCAACCTTTTACCATTGTACAGCCTAAAAATCCTATTTGCCACAACATCAAAATTTATCACAGGAATGGATCTCTGGTAAAAGGTACAATTGTGCCAGATTTCAGAATGGCTGACTTGTAGCAGTTAAAACTTTCGGCTTTTATGTCAGTATTCTCAAATGTGTAAACTCCCCCCGCCCCCCCAAATGTATAATTTCTCTGTTCTTCAGATTTGGATTGTTAAAAATTCCTAGAATATTTTGTGGGTCTTTGTGCTCATATGTTTGGTGAAAATGTTATGAGATTTCACACTTCCTACTGTATCTGTCAAAGGGAGCTTTAAGAACATACGGAGAGCCCTGCTGGATCAGACCAGTGGTCCATCTCGTCCAGCATCCTGTCTCACACAGTGGCCCACCAGTTCCTCTGGACAGCCAACAACAGGGCATAGAGGCTGAGACCTTCTCCCTGATGCTGCCTCCTGGCTCTGGGATTCAGAAGAGGTTTCCCTCAAAAGCTCATACCATGACAATTTTGTTGGTTTCTAAGGTGCTACTAGACTTGTATCTACTGGCACATTATTACTTAGTATAATTTTGGGGAAGCCTACTCAGTGAAGACAGTTTGCATGCTAAAGACCATCAGCAGGCATGTTCATTTCAAACCATTCATTGTTCGTGTGAAAAATGGCTGCCCAACTATATACTATACAAGCCTGGCCTCAAGGACGATATTGTGGGTCAGTGGTGCTCTCCCCACTGTTTCATTAAAGGAAATTGCTGGTTAGTGTTTTGTTAATACATGTACACAGGGTAGTAGAGGCCTTACAAGAGAGCTGTACTTAAAATCTCTTTAAGAAGAAATAAGATTAGTATGATTAGTATCTTAGCCTCTTTCTCATATCCCAAGTTAGCATTTGAACATGATAAAATTAATTTAGGGGGTATCTTAAAAGAATTCTTTGCTTTCTTTATTTCAAAACAGCTTGTATTATGGTAATGACAGTTATGCAAGGGATGAAGCAAGATTCTTAAATGCTTCTAATCCAGGCATGTATTTATGAGAAAATTGTTTGAAATTGTTTGAAATGCCTCATGAGAATCATTTTCTCTCCCCCCCCCCCCCGCTGCAGGGTTACAACTGGTGCCACGATCGGAATGTGGTCACCATTTTCAGTGCACCTAATTACTGTTATCGTTGTGGGAACCAGGCTGCTATCATGGAACTAGATGACACTTTAAAATATTCCTTGTAAGAGAACTTATTGTTTCATTTGGCATTGGGGGTGGGTGATTCTTTTTTCCCCCTCATGTGTTTTAAATAAGATGATATTTTTCAGGCTGGAAACACACCACTTTGCAGGGTATAAACACAGTGGATCTGGAAGGGGAGGTGACTTCTACAGATTCTTTCATCCTAGTACATCCCCCCAGACCTGTATTCGGGCAGAGGGGAGTACTTGGGGCTGCACTGGGAGGGGGGCAGCATAGCCAATACGTGGCTATGGTCAGAAAAGGATAAATGAAAGAAATGCATGGCAACACTACACTTCTATCATAGGTTTGGGTTGGGCAGGATTGTTACAACGGAATTTTGCATGTGTAGCTCCCTGAAATTAGTGATTCCTCCCCCCCCCCCCCCCCCCTCCATGTTTACACCAGGGACTGATGAAGTTGGGCCAGGATTTTTAAGTTAGTATTTCCGTCCTGTCCCTTGAACATTGGTCTTTTTTAGTTCAGTGGAATGTGTGCATGTTTGGGTTGCAACTAAAACTCTAATGACAAACGGTAGGAAGTAATATTGTCTGAAACGAACTTGATCCGAAGATTTCTTACTGTGCGTATTGGTGTTTCCCATTGATGGCACGTTTAGCCCCATAAAACCCTGTAAAATACAGCACACAATCTAGTAAAAGGCTTGTCTCCGTTAAGCATCTCTCATTGGAAGCCCTCCCCTTCCCGCCCTGTCATGCCTTTGCTTCAGATTTGCCAAGCCCCTTTCTCTTGGCTTGCTGTTCTGCGGCCGGCCAAGACAGGAACGGCCACGTATGCAGCAGTGGGTGTCCTTCAGAAACCTTAACTGAAACACATTTGAATGCAAACCACTTTTTTCCCTCCCCCCCCCCCCACTTCTCTACAGCCTTCAATTTGATCCAGCACCTCGCCGTGGGGAGCCTCACGTGACTCGGCGTACCCCAGATTACTTCCTATAATCATCTTTTCTTCGACCTGGCCTTGATCAGAAGAAAATACCTGGCATGGGGGGGGGGGGGGGGGGGCGCGTTTCAGCATAAAAGCCTCTTCATGGACCAAACTGTGCCAGGATGAGGACGACGAGCTTTGAGCACAACTTACAAAGACTGACTTCAACACACTAACCAATCCTAGATCAGCCAGTTTGCCTGCTGTATTCTGTAGTCATTGTTCTTCTGGATGGTTCAGAGAGAGAGAAAAAGGTAACTAACACCCATCTCCCATTCATGCTTATGTGTAAATTTTTAGTTGTAGTGTTTAACTGGCATGTTATTAACATTTTGAAGTTTAAGGAAAATGCACAAACTAACTTGCCTCTTAACTCTTATTGCCCTCTATTTTATTGACATAAGTAACTTAACTGGAGAAAAAAAATATTTCCTCTTCGGAGTATGTCGTCATAAAAGCTTTTCACTCCATTTAAGGTAGATGACTGTTCTGTGTTGATCCTACTTTTTTTCCTGTATATTTGTCATGAAAGTGCTTGCATCTTCTTTGATGTATTTGAACAAATAAACCTACAAATCATTAATCCAACCAGCGGGAGATTCTGGAATAGAATAATTTATCACACAGATGTTATCAGGAGGTGATCAGTTGTCAAAATACAACCTCTTGTTTTCTTTGCATTAAATGGCCAATGAAAACTTCCCTCAGTCCTGGGAACTTGTCTTCAACAAGACCCAGCTGTAAGCAAGGGAATGTCCCTGTCACTCTTACCGTTCCCTTCACACCAGTAGAACCTGAAAGTTAAGTTTCTTAACCTTGCTTTCTGCTAAGCTTGCAATTACCTCCAAGATTTTCTAGAAATCAGGATATGACAACAGCAGGGCATGGAAATGAAACATGGGAATGAGCTAATGTAGCCTGAATGCACTGTCTTGTTAAAGCCAGAGTTCATATTTAAGTGTATGCTCAAGTTTCTGAATTACAGCAACTGGGTGCACCCCAAGGACAGCTTAGGGTTTGAGTGATGGCTTAAATTCAACATTTTTATTCCACTAAACTTTCCTCTTGACTCCTCAGCCATTAGTTTTCAAATAAAGCATGTTTTATCTGTTATTGCCGCGACAGTGTGCTTGAAAACATATAGACAGTACCTAGTAAAAAGCTAGAGGCAGGATGGCTGAGTAACTGAGCTCTGCTGCTGAGGTAGAACACGTTTTCCTTAGCATTCTGGGCTTAGTTGTGCTTCCTTTTCCCAACTGTAGTTCCTCTAGTCTTTCATCCTTTATTAACTTTCACTCCCAACCCCCTTTCCCAGTGAAGTATCCGATGTGTAAAGGATGTATGGTTTTCTTTGCCCACTTCCACCCCATGAAATTGACTGCTGTTGATTTTAAAAGCCCATTTATTTTTCTGACAGCCTTCTCAAGTTGTCTAAGCCCCACGGTCCCAGTCCTGATTTTTCTCAGTGTTCATTCGCGGATAACCTGATTTACAGCAAGGTTCAGTAAGAAAGGATGATATAATTCAGATCTTCTCTTCAGGCACAGGGATGGGTGAGCAGGATTCTGAGAAGGTTGCTCCTTGGCATCTTATACAATGCTTTTGGTTAAGCTTCAGCTGGGGGGCAGTCTTTTAACGAAGGGTAACCAGCTCTTCTGACGAAGTTGGGTGAATGGCTACAGTCTCATCAAAGTCAGCCTTGGTTGCTCCCATTTTGACAGCCACTGCAAAGCCTTGGAGCATTTCATCACATCCCAGACCTTGCATATGAAGTCCTACCACCTTAAAACACAAGAGAGATTTGAGCATGTCAAACATGGGGCTTCTGGACACCAAGCAAGTGGGTTTTTGTGTAAAAAGGGAATCTTTACATAGCTGTCTGCTTAACTTTTGCTCCAGCTTTGTGAATTAAAAGCTGCTGAAAGAAGAGTGCCCCATATGCATGATCCAGGTGTGTAATAAAAGAACCTCTACCTGTTGCAGGTGGTTCCCATCTTCCTTCCTCCCTTACCTTAAACAAAACATTTTAAATATAGAGGAGCAGTTTTATTTGCTGGAGGGGTGAGTTGCTAACTGCCTCTCCCTCTTCCTGCTTTGCTTACCTTTTCCTGTGGAGTGGCACAGACCAGTTTCATGACACACTTTGTTTTCCTTGTGGTTACAGCATGGTACATTGGGACGAAGGAAGTCGTATAAACCTTGATGTTCTCTCTTCCATAGGCGGCTACAGCTTCCGCTGGAAGACAGAACAAAATCTTAAGACGTGAAGTCTATGTAGGTGTTACATGTGACTGAGGCAAAACCACATAGTTCATGCTTGGAACAGAAGTGTTACTTCCCCTGAAGTCAATATTTAGAACAGGGTCTGTAATTAGCTTTCTGCTACAGTGCTGCAATAGGCATGGCCCATGAGGCTGAATACTAAGTATGCCTGTTAGGCTGTGAAAAGCTTCCTTGTAAACAACCATCCTGCACCTTCCAATTTTTCTAAACTTTCACCTGGGCTTGGATCCAGTGGTCCACATGGGCCTCTCTCCTGGCTCTGCAGAGGCAGTCTTCAGCATTGAAGCTCTCCCTTCCTTTGGCAGCTGGTGCTTCCTTTTGAGCAACCGTGTGAACGCTGAAGTGCTAAGTGAGAGGAAGCGAGCTCTGCAGTCGAGGACTGCCTCGGTAGCAACTGGAGGAAAGAGGGGCACACAGAGCCAGACGTATAGGATTCAAGCCCTGACCTTGCAAGAAGGTATTCTAGGGAACCCTGATTTTTGAAGTTTGTAACTGATGTTTCTTGGCCTCTTAAATATGGACAATTGAGCAACTCTAGTTCACAATGAGGTGGATTTGGCCATTCAACTAAAATATTGCTATTTCCCAATATTTTTTTTCCTGCGGTGGGGAGGGCAGGATAAAAATTGAATGAATAAATAAATATCCTATGGGGACCTCTGTAGTCAATGGTCCCCATGGGGTATAATGGAGAATCAATCTGGGGCTCTGGGGGGCTGTTTTATTAGGTAGAGGCACCAAATTTGCAGTATAGCTGCTGGTGCATCTCCTCAAACACCCCCCCCCCCCAGTCTCAAAGACTGGACCAAGGGGTCCAATTCTACGGGCCCCCAAAGAAGAAGCCACCATCCTCCATTGAAGCCAACGGAGGGGGAACAGGCATTTAAAGAGTGCAATCCCTTTAAATTCCTTCTCCAAGCCATGCAACTCCATGACTTGGAGAACTCCAAAGGCGTTTAAAGGGCTCACAGTCCCTTTAAATACTTTCAGAGTAAACTCGCCAGCCCAGGATCGGATGGGGCAGTGAAAGCTCTCTGCTCTGTCCCACCCCAGGTGATCCGCTCTTGCAGCTCAGAGCTGCATGAGAAGATCAGCTGAGCAGCGTGGAGCTGTGAGCTCCTACTGCCCTGGCTGATCCTGGGTTGGCTCCTCTTGCAGCTCAGTTTAAGAGCTCCATGCCACCTCAGCTGGGGGGGAAATCAGCTTTTTGGAGGTTCAGGTATACCAGTAGCCAAATACTGATCTGTATTCGGCTGCTGGTATACCTGAGCCTCCCCAAAAGCTGATTTTCCCCCAGCTTTTATTTTGGTGCATCGGCTATACCGCGAGCCAGCCCCAGCCGAATCTCTGATCTGTATTTGCCTTAAATAATACCGGTATTTTTCAGGTATTTTTTCAGTTTAGACCAAACACATACCCCTAGTCTGGAGCCTTCCTTCAATTTAAGCAGCTCTTCTGTTGGAGGAAGGCTTCAAACTTTACTCATTGGAGAGGTAAAAACCACCTCATAGTGTTTTTAAACTGTTGTGTTTTGTAAACTGGTTTAATAGCAATCCTCTGAACTGTGGGAGGGGAAATATACGGATACCTTAAACTACTCTGGGAGAAAACTTTGCTATGTGTTATTAATATCACAGTCCCTAAAGATTGTGTCATAAGAGTACCTTGTGTACTGAATCACAGGTGAAGAGATCCAGGATCCTACCTTCTGTTAGTCCCACTGTTCCGATAGGTGGGTGGCTGAAGACCACAGTAGGAATGTTGGTGTAGTCAAGTTTGGAATCTTCTTTACCTTCAAAAAGTCTGTGCGCCAATTTCCTGCCCGCTGCTATTGCAACTGTAAGAATGAAATTTGAGTTGCATGTTTAATTTAGCTAGGTAGTATCAAAATCAGCATAACGTGTTGATGAAATCTGTACAAAGTAATATTGTACCATTATGACAGCTGTCATAGGGAAGTGCTATATCAGTTCATATAGTGCACGCTGTGGTCACAGGTCCACTCCCATGTGTGGGATTATTACTATGTTTGTACTAGGGGTATGTCTCATTTGATGCTAGCCTTTACAGCTCCAGTGAAGAGAGTGTAATTTCTCAAGGTATGTCATGGGGCACATCAGCACCGGTGAGAGAAGCTACAGCTGTATTTGGAGCTCTTAGGTTATAACAAAATATCTGAAAAGCATCAATTTCAACTGGAAGTTAGAACAAAAATCCTTAAGAACTGAACATCAATAGCATCCCTGCAACTGGAAACTCCACTAAGGGCATTTGCAGATCTGACAAAATTCATGGTTACCTATCAGACGGAAATTACGCATCCCACTACAGAGAAGGGGAATATGGGATTTAGTCCTCCGACCATTGCTCAGTTTCGTAACTGTAACCCACACTATAATTAACTCGTTTAAAGGACATGCATCCTTTAAAATGCTAATATTGCAGGGAGTCTTGTTTTGGACAGCAAAGGCGCAAGAAGGGTGTTCAGGAGTTAAATCCTCTCCCCCCTTAACTGTGCACAATTTACTTTTTACAGACTTGTCCATGATCTTTGTCTGTCTGCATCTTGAGAAAGTACCTGAAGGGACACTGGGATGGGCACTGTTAGTGTGTGAACTCTTAACCTTAGCGTTTCCAGCCGCTGTTTTGGAACTCCATACCGTGGAAGTTCAGGAAATCTCCCTTAAGATGCTGCTACTGTTGCAGCAGGCTTACTGTGATTTTTAAAAAAGAGGTACTTAATATCCTACACTGGATATAGGGAAGGTGGAAAAGGGAGGGGGAAAACCCTAGACAGCTGCTGCACTATACCCATGTTTTTTCATGGCCCTTCCTCCATTTTTGGTGCAATACGGACAGGCTTGCACGCACAACCCTTTACAAAGTCTATGAATGTTACCTGGGGTGAGAAGTGCTTTCCCGCATACATCTCCGACAGCGTAGATCCCCTGCCGGCTGGTGTTTTGGAACTCATCAACAATAATGTGGCCTGCAGGGTCTACCTTAAGAGCCTGATATTAGAAACAAAAGTTCAAATCAAGACCGGCATCCCGGGAAAGCATGGCTAAAACAATTAGCATCGAATAATCTTTTGACACTTGGCTACATAAAATTTATTTTCTCCAAGGACAGCATGTACAATGTGGACAGTAGATGGGAATTTCCCCCCCTGCATAGCTTGAGTGTTGAAACCCACAGGCAGACAGGGAACTGTTTGAAAGAGCAGTCAGGCTGCAGGCTATATGCTTAACACGAAATCTGCAGTCTAAAACAACTGACATTTTTCAAGCGTTCAATACATTATCTCAGTAGCTGCAGTAAAAGAATAGGGCCCTGGTATTCCATGCGGGACAGATGAGGCC